GTAAGCTTCCTGTCAAACTGTTTTATGATCTCTAAACAGTAGGGATATCTATTAATACCCTTATGTAAATTAACTCTCAAATATTTGACTGGAAATTCATCCTTTTTCATCCCCAACATGTTTTCCATGTTCTGGACCTTGGCCCCACTAACCTTTCCACACAGAAAAGAACTTTTATTGAGATTAACAGTCTGCCCTGAAGCATATTGATAGTCTTTGAAGAATTTGTTAAAATTATTTAAGGAACTAGAACCACCATTCAGAAAAATCAACAAATCATCAGCAAAACCCAAGTGAGAGATAGGGTAGCCCTTACATCCCATCTAATATGGCTTGATAAGTGAATTCTGAATATGCCAATTCAGACCTCTAGAAAAAGCCTCAAATGCAATAATAAATAGAAAGGGAGATAGTGTATCACCTTGCTTAACTCCCCTTGTAGGCTTAAAGAAACCAGCAGGCACACCATTTACCAAAACAGACAGATAAGTAGCCTTAAGATTGTTTAGAACAATCTGATTGAAATTTTGAGAAAAGCCAAATCTATTCAGCACCTCCATCAAAAAAGTCCAGGACAACTTGTCAAAAGCTTTAGCCATATCTAGCTTAATGAGAACATTAGCACCTCTAATCTTTTTCTCAATAGAGTGCACCATTTCCTGTGCAATGAGGATATGATCTGCAATGTCTATGTTTTGCATGAACCCATCTTGCTCCACATATATGATTTTAGGCAAGATTTTTCCAAGTGTAAAGGCAAATAGGTCTAAAATCTCCAAAACTGTCTAGATTGGGAATTTTAGGAATCAAAACGATCAGGCTACTAGATATCCCAGGGGGAATAGAATGACCTTGAAAAAAGTCCTGAACAGCTCTCAACACATCCATCCCAACAATATCCCAGCATTTTTTTAAAAAAAAATCCATTGAAACCATCAGGGCCTGCAGCCCCATTTTGATTAAGATCCCAAACTGCTTGTTTAACTTCCTCCATCATGGGCAATTGAGTGAGTAAAACATTGTCTGTATCTGTAACTAATCTTGGGATGAATTGCAGGATTTCATCATGAGTTCCAGCTGAAGAATCAACAGAATAAAGGGAAGTGAAATAGGTAACAACAGCCTCCTTAATTTCAGGTAAAGAAAAAACAGAATTACCATCCATATTCTTGATGGAAGAAATGATTTGTTTCTTTTTCCTGATTTTAACATAAGAATGATAAAATTTAGAATTGGAATCACCTCCCTTGAGCCATTGGATGTGGGATTTTTGCATCCAGAATTCTCTTTCTAGCTTAAGCTTACAAGTCAGAGCAGCTTTTAGACTCATCCAATTCTCCCTGTTTGCCTCAGTAGGATGCTCTGTATAAAGTGTTTCAGCTTGTAGGACCTTTTCTTCACAACGTTTAATATCATCAAATATATTCCCAAAGACCTGTTTGTTCCAAACTTTAAGAACTTTTTTAAGGGCTTGCAGTTTGTAAACCAAACCTCGCATACCTCCCCCAGAATTTGTACTTGCCCAACACTGTTTAACAATATCATAAAAAGTAGGATGAGATATCCACATATTTAAAAATTTAAAGCTTTTGGGGCACGTTTGAGAACTGTTCCAACATGTGAAAAGAATACGGTTATGGTCAGAGGGGTTTTTTTCCAGCACAGATATTTGAATCTGATCAAAGCTATCCAAACCTTTTTGGTTAATCAACACTCTGTCAAGCCTTCTCCAGACCATACCATTAACCCTTTGACCAGCCTAAGTGAATTGAGGCCCCACAAAGGGCATATCAATAAGATCACAAGAGGAAATGCAATCTGAAAACTCCATAATATTGTGCAGATGAGGGGGCCTTTCTTCCCCGATGCTCACTATGAGCTGCAATGGTGTTAAAATCACCCCCCACAATCCAAGGCTCTTGAATTTGAGTAGACAAATCCAACAAAGAAGACCAAAGCTGCCTTCTAATAAGATAATTATGCTTACCATAAATTGCTGTAAGCCAACCAGAAAATGAGTTTTTCACCAACCTCATATGAACATATTGCTGGTGCCAAACTACATCAGAAATCTGAACCTCCTCGGGATTCGAGAATACCCATATTTTATTTATAGCTGAAGAAAGAACACACTGAAAATTGAAATCTTTTTTGTATTTTTGAACTTTTGAGATATCTACCATAGGCTCAATCACCACCACCAGCTGAATACTCCACTGCCTTATTAAAGAATTTAGTCTAGCAGAAGAAGAATCCAGTCCCCTCACATTCCAAAATAAACAATTCATTTATAAGGATGGAAAAGAAATTAAAGAGGCCTCCTCACAGGCACTTGAATCACCTTGAACTACCTCCCCATGCTCTTCAATTTTTCTTGTTGCATTTCTAGTCACCCTTGGAACAGAATTAACTTGTGTCTTTCCTTTTTTCCTGTGCCTCCTATCAGTAACTTTAATAAAGTCATCTGCCTCCTCCCCAATAGGATTTATGCTTGCAGGTTGTGTGTTTTGAACTGTTTCTGTAACTGCCTCCCTCTCAGCTATCCTTTTAGCCATGAAGTTGACTTTAGGACGTACTTCAGACCAAGAGTTTTCCCAATCTAACTGTTGCCTTTTATGCTGCAGGTGTTTCTCAGATCCCCCCTCTGAAAGTTACTCCTTTTGAGCTAATTCTGGGTCAAAATCCTGAGATTTGGTAGCCTACTTCAAATGAAAGTCATCTTTAATAACAATAGAGTCACTGGATTGAGCTACACCTGGAATAACTTTGCTCAACAAAGCCTGCACCTCCTGCCTGAAGACTTCCTCCCCCTGATGCTGCTCTTCAGCTTCTGGTGGTTCTAAAGTGTCCAAGAAGACTTCTTCCACTTCAGAATCAGATTCCACTTCCTTCTGTATATTAGATGTAGAAGGTTTATCTTCATGATTTGATAGAGCAACTCCCTTCCCTTTCTCTTGTGCTGTAAATTTAACTGATTTCTCTTGCTTGTCATCCACACCATTCATCTTGGGCTTAGCATCCCATCTCTCCCTAGGAAGCGTATTACCTTGAGGCTTAGACTTTTTTGGACAATTCACATTGGAATGTCCAAGATGATAGCAATCACCACAATACTCTGGTTGGTTCTCATATATCACACTTTGAGTGAAACCTGATTTGCCACAATTTATCCAAATTTTCTGAGGCATCTCTTTAGTGAGATCTAACTCAACATAGATCCGGGCCACCGAAGGCCTGGCAAGGGAGGCAGTAGCTGCATCCAATTTCAAAGGCATGCCAATTAGTGTAGCAATGTCAAAAAGGGCGTGCTGATCATGTAAATGAATAGGCAGGTCATCGAAAGCGATCCAAACGGGAACCACCGATCATTCCACGTTATAGACATTCATGTATAGACATTCATGTTTGTACATATATTTCGAATTTTAGGGGTTGTAAACAACAATCATATTTCAATTCGAATTTCCTAACAAATTGAAAGTTGTGAAAAAACGAATAAAGGGTGAAGAGATTACCTACAAAAAGTGTTGGCTGGTGCGGCAGGTGTCTGGCGGTGAAGAGGTTGAAACTTGAAACACGCTGATCGGAGGTCGTTAGTTGAGGCTAGAGAGTAGAGACTTGAGAGAAGATGGGAAGGTGGAGAGAGAAGGAAGGGAAAGAAGCTTTTTTAGCAATAGAACTTCTGAAAAATAAAGTGGACGGGCGAGTCAAATTTTAAAATCTAACAACATATGGTTCACTAACTTAAAGGGCCAACTAATGTTAGTGATAAAATAAAATATATTTATAGGAGCAATACCAAACCAAGCCAATTGAGACAAGACTTAAACAAATCAGACTTAATGAATTAGATTACACTAGTCCAAAACAGATAACAAAATATCACCCCAAAAAATGAAAAAAAATCACTAATATCACTCCTAAAAAAGTGTTGAATAAAATGTGCCTTTATAACTTTTAGTGACTAAAATTATATTCAAAGTTACTATGATGTAATAATTATGATCTAAACTTTGAACACAATTAAAGTCACTAAAATTTAATAAATCACATTTTTGCGCATGCTTTTTTTATTAGTAATATTTTAGGAAAAACCTCATAAAAAATTCATGTTCTAGTCCCTCAAATAAAATGACATAATATGAAGAATTAAAATATTGGGAAATTACCAATTACACTACATACTGATTTATCTTCTTAAGTTTCTACTACATTCGTCCCAATGTGATGATCCAGTTTCTTATCCACTTAGTTAACACAAATCACTTTTAGTGCATATTTGGTATGTATATGCTCATGTCTTCTAGCTTTTGTACTATTTTAAAATTCTTTAGAAACTTCTAGTTATATGCTTGGTAGGACAATTTTTAAGAACTTTTTACAAAGTAAAAAAAACTTTTTTGAGATGCTATAGTGGGTAGCATTTAGGAGAAAATCAGTAACTTTTAACATTAATTAGTCACAACAACTTATTATGGCAAACAGAACTAAATCAAACAATCAACTTTTTATCAAACATGTACAACCTTTTTAAATTTAAGAACTTTTCAGTCATTAAAAGGTAACAGTTTAAAAAAAACTCATAAAAGTATCTTTTCATCTATCTCTTACTTTATACATAACTTTTATCAAATTTGACTATTCTTTTTGTGAGTTTGTAAAACTTCTAATTTAGTTTTTGAATTTGTAAATTTTATTTACAAAAAAAATTGACCACATCGACGATGGCGGCTGAAACTGCAGTAGCAGTGGCTGCGGGATTTGTAAGAGCGGCAGTTGGTGGCCGGCGGCGGCCGGATCTGCAGCGGTAGCGGCCGGATTTACACAGGCGGCTAGTTTTGATGATGCATCGGCGGCTTGCGGCGGCCGACGGCGGTCGATCCGGTGATTTGTGAGCGAGAGTATGTTATGTCAAGATTCAGGGGTATTTTTGTCTAACTATGTATAATAATTCATATTTGAAGAATTTTTAAACTTTAATTTTATTTTGACAAATAAGAATTGAATTACTCCTATTTGGGTAAATCCCCCGTCATAATCCAAACAAATGTGAAGTACCTAAGATCCCAACCATAAAAATTCGGCAAGTCGCTGGTAGGTGGCTTCAGCCTTCAGACAAGAGCAATTCCAATTTGGATCAGGTAGGAAGAGGCCGGGGGATATCAATAATGGTCTCCAATCTATGGACGCCACTCAGGGAAACTCTTTTCCAGTACACAGGGCTGTCTCCGACGTCCTTCTTTACAATTGCGGCGCTGATGGTGGCGGCTTACCAGCTCGTTTCTTACTTATTCGGCGGCGCCGATGACCACATGTTTGTCAAGAAGGCCGAGGAAGCTGCTGCTCGCCGCCGGCAGCACGTCCTGTTGGGCGACATGACCTCAGGTGCCCTCCTAGCTTACAATGGGTCCGACCCGAAAAGGCCCTTACTCATGGCTATCAGAGGACAAATCTATGATGTGTCCAGTTCCAGGTTGAAATCTCCTTACTATTCATTCATTCATTCATAGCTCAAAGTCAAAAGAAAATCACAATCTCTCGTCAGATTTTTTGAAGTAATCCAATAAGTTGGGCCTCGCATGTTTTGAATCTTTGATAGGATAGACGTTCTTTTTGTAGATCACCGATAAGTTGTCAAGTTTGTCTAAGAAATAAGAAAAACAAATGTTTTTAACACAGAAATTGATTGAATCGGTTTAGAATCAGTTTGGTAACATCGAAATTGATTGAATCGGTTGATTCCGCTGAAATTTATGAAGTTTTGGCTTAAGTGATTGTATTGCCTGATTCTGCTGATTTATGAAAAAATTATATTTAAAATATATTTTATTAATAAAATATAGAAAAAATTATATGAAAAAATAGTTAAAATGATCATCTACAATAACTTTAGTCAATACCAGAAAAGTAACTTTGACCTTACTTTTGAGATGTATTTATAAGTTTGTGACACTTTCCTCCTTTGGTAAGTTTTTTTTTAAATACTCAATTACCTTTACTTTTTCAATGAGTAATACTCCCTCCGTTCCTATTATAACTTCCAACTTTCCTTTTTCGTCTGTTCCAATTAAAACTTCAACTTTCCCTTTTTGGTAAAAAATTTGTGATTCGTAACATTTCTTACATATTTCTCTCTCATCTGCACAATTCTCCACCACACAATACTCACTATCTTAAATTGTGGGTCAAACCTATTTGGAAGTTATAATAGGAACGAAGGTAGTATTTATCATCTTTTTCATACTTTTAAATTATATCTCCTACTTTTTCTGTATTATTCATTACTCTGACTACTTTCTTTTTTAATTAATGTGCCGAAGCCATATGTATCAATCTTTATAATACAAAGGGAGTATTAAAAGTTTCATTAGTTGCAAAGCATAATTCTAATATCATAAAAAATGATACTAGTATATGAATTTAGAGATTAGGACGAAATTCGCCGACTGCATGAATAGTAACAGTAGAGATTCAAATTGGACAAAGTTGGTATTATTGAAGAGGGACATATGTCTTTATAAAATCTCTATATGTACTTTTTCATAGAGTATTATGTCATGGGAATTCTAGTGGAATAATGCTTATTTAGGTTTCTTCCTCAACTATAAAAGGGTTTTGGGAATCTTTTGTAACAACTGGAAGATTCAGAACACATAATCTAAATTTTTGAAGAAAAGTGCTCCACACAAAATTGCTTTTTAAGATTTAGAGCAGAGCAGATCATATAAAAAAATCAGATAAAATCTGAATAAGTTCACATCAGAAACATTCGAATTTGGCAAAAGAAAGAGCATCTAATTCACCTCATCACATTTAAAATGCCAATGTTCTAGGATTTTCAACACTCTGCATTCTTTAATCCAAGAAAGAAGTATGGGTTTTCATTGGTTGAATGTTTAGGATGTTCTATGGTCCGGGAGGGCCTTATGCAATGTTTGCTGGGAAGGATGCAAGCAGAGCCTTAGCTCAACTGTCATTTGACCCTAGAGAGATTAATGGGAACCTTGAAGGCCTAAGTGATGCTGAGCTGGAAATTCTGCTGGATTGGGAGGACAAATTCATGGATAAGTACCCTAAGGTGGGACAAATTGTCTCTGAAAAGAAGACAGTTGGTGAGTTCGCAAATACAGACATGTATTTGGGAAGTAGTTGAATCAGAGATTAGCGAATGTATAATGAATTCCAGTGCAGATAACAAAGAAGTCATCTGGTTGGGGAGCTCATACCCCAGTCCCCAGATAGACAAGGCTGATATGGCAACTTCTGCAAGTTTCAAATATTTACAGTAAGTAATACACTTTTGGGAATAAGACCTGGATGTTGTTGTTGTATCCAGCAAGTAAGACCAATGCTCCAACACATCGCGGTTTAAATAAGAGTAAAACATACTCTACCATATTTCTCCAAATAGAAGTATCATTTTTTTTTGTTTTTTTATTCTTTTAATAGGACTATATGAGTTCCATTTTGAGAACAAAACATACCCTTACTTTTTAGATTTGTACATATTTTAGTCATATTTTGATTAGATTAACGTGCATTTGTGCCACATGGACTTCTTAATAGAAATCAAATTTAAAACAGATAATGGCATTTATTTGGTAGATTTGAAAAGGGCCTTATTTTATGAATATTACTAAATAAAGGTTTGAAGACAAAAAAGTGATCACATGAACAAAATTCCAAAAATATGACTAGTATGAAGTGACTTGCAATTTTAGTGACTGAAATTAGACCAAATAGTGACCACTCGTGCAGTGATTTCCGCCACCACCCCGATTAATGATTGACGTTGCCGCTAGTGATGGACTAAACCAGGCCGGGTCGGGCCGGAACCGGTCTGGCCCGTTACTGTTTGGGCCCGGACCGGACCTGGACCGGTTGGCCGGTTCCGGGCTTTTAGCCCGTTTGGGCGGGCCGGGCTCGGGCCCAACTTTTGGTGAACCGGCCCGGGCGGTTCGGGCCGGGCCCGGTTCAATTTTTTTTGTTTTTTCAATTTTTTTGCTTTTCTAGGTTAGGGCTGGGTGTTTTGGGGGGGTTTGGGGGTGGGGGTGAAGGGGGGGGGGGGGGGGTCGGGTGTTAATTAGAAACCAAAAAAAATTGAACTTGACAAGGGCCCGGCCCGGTTAGGCCCGGACCCGGTATCAACCCGGGCCGGTTCCGGGCCCAACATTTTGCAAAAAAAGCCCGCCCGGGCCCGACCCAGAACCGGACCGGCCCGGGTCCAACCCTAGCTGCCGCTCCAATAAGTGACGGATGCCGCCTGTCCAGTGACTGCCGCCACTGCCCGTCCAGTGACTGCCGCCACCGCCCGTCCAGTGACTGCTGCCGCCACCGCCCGTCCAGTGACTGATGCCGCCCCCGATCTGTGACAGCCACCGCCCACCGGTCACAGTGACACGCCGTCTCCGGCCATAGTGACACGCCATCTCCAGCCACCCCAATACATCCCTCCCATGCTCCTCACAGCCCCGTCCCCAGCCCACCTCGCCATAGTGTCGTCGCCGAGCATCACCGCGGACCACCGCCGCCAACCACTGCCCCCTGGAATGCCGAGCATAACCCTTATGAAGGACTCCAAGCTTCTAATTATCCATCAACAAAGAAACACACTTCCTATATTATTGCAAAAGACAAACTATTCATTCAATGTACAAGGGATTTTTTTTAGAAAAGTATTCTTTACAACTCAGACAAATCCCTTTGAAGTTCCGTCTAATTATAATAACAAGAACATCAAGAATGATAACAATATAGACTTATATGTATAAACACACATAAACAGAAGAACAGTGCTAAAAATCAGGTCAACTATATATATTTGATGAAAGAATTATAGACTTGAAGCAACCTGTAGCATGGAATACAACCACCGCACCTCTGCCAACAGCAACGGCTCTAGGTCAGATGCGTCGTCTACCGAGGATGGCGGATATGGAACCGGCGGCGACCCCTCCCCCGCCAAAGTCACAGCCACCACTATGGCCGGCCAACGACCCCCCTCCAGCCACCCAATCACTGGCGCACATCAACTCCGATGAACCTAACTAGCCCCAATCTACTCCCCTGAGCCCAAGGCCACCACTGTTCGACCCAAACCAACCAGAACAGATCTGGCTGTCTGCAACCAAGTCAGACCAGAAGTCGTCTCCCGGGAGATGTCGTCATCCATGAAGAAAGGAAAAGAAGGGACCGCATCAGAGATGATAGCACACCTAGGGGGCTGCGGCCAACAACGGTGGTGGTTGGTGGAAGTGGCAGAGCAACAACAGTGGAGCGCAGAGGAGCTTTGTCCGATCTCGAGGGAAGACGACGATCTGGGAGAAGCTTGGTCTGATCTTCGAGGGAAGACGACGATCTGGGAGAAGCTTGGTCCGATCTTAAGGGAAGACGACGATCTGGGGGAAACTTGGTCTGATCTTTGACAAATCCAGCATCACGGTGGAGCACATGGAAGAGGAGCTGATCTGAGAGGAAGATAACAGTTCTGACCATCTGGGAGAAGCTCTTCGATCGAGCCCAAAGAAGTCGAGCGCAGAGGGAGGCGGACGATTTGTTTTAATCTCTTTTTTGTCCAACTCAAATTTGGTCATATTTTTGTCCATTAAAACTTGAGAAGTAATACTTGTGCCATTGTTTCTTTGAAAAGTACGAGTCGAACATTTAAAAACATTAATTTTTGTTGAAATTTCCCGTTACAGTTACTATTGTCTATTTTGTATTTCATTTACAGCCCGACATAAAGTTTTTTTCATCTTTAGACTTTTAATCTTTCACTTTACTTATTTTATTTCAAAAATAGATTATTAATTAGAACTAAAACGTAAACCTTCCGGGAATGAGCATCGGTTATTTCAACGATCTTTTACAATTTCCATTCAGCCCCCAAACCCCATGGTCGAACTACCATGCAAATGTTTTCTAAGAGTGAGTTATGCTGCTGTAAAGTTATACGATGTTTATACTGACCAGATGGAGTCCGACTCAAGTACATCAACATGCAAATCGTATTACACAAGTCAATTACTTCACCGTGCATTTCTAGAGTTCTACTCAAGTACATCACCATGCACATCATAGGTTACAAACCTTCAATCTCACCATGCATTTCTAGAGTTCAACTCAAGTACATCACCATGCATGTCATCATTCACAACCTCTTGTCTACCCATGCACTTCTAAAGTTCTACTCAAGTACATCACCGTGTCATGACATAGACCCAATTCCTAAACAACTTATGCCTAGAATTGACATATCAATAATCTACCTTGGGACATCCTTAAGGACTGCCCATAACATGATCTTAGCTTCATACTAAATCAATTTAGTCACTTGAATCACATTCAAGTGCATCACTTACAATCAAATCATTAGAATCAATTCTTTAACAATAACAAATAATGATTAACTAGTATTTCAATACTATTAAGATTATTCCTATCAAATCAAATATTCCATTTTTGAATCCCTACATGTAGCAGCAATTTAAGCATCCTGAAGCCTCGACCTCGTATCGACCATATGCGGATGAAAATCCGAATTCTCATGTCCCTTATTTTGAAAGTTTAGCTGAGAGATTTCAAGATGTTTTAAAAGGTGCTGATCAACCTCTGCATGCTGATTGTGAGGGATACTCTCAGCTATCCGCCGTTTTAGAGTTGATGAACATTAAAGCTGAGTACAGTCTTCCAGAAACTTGCATGTCTAAGCTGTTGCAGTCAATTGGAGGAATGCTACCGCGTGACCACAGTCTTCCCGATTCATATTACAACATGAAGCAATTAATTTTTCAGTTAGGGTTTCCTCGTATAGAAATTGATGTCTGCCCTAAAGGATGTATGTTGTTCTGGAAGGATGATGAGACATTTGAGAGCTGCAAGTTCTGTGGTGGAGAGAGATACAAACATGTTCCTCTAAAGAAAAAAAACCATGATATCGGTCTGCATTGTCTAAGTTGTTTTACCTCCCACTAGCTCCACGTCTAAAGAGGATATATGTTTCAAATGCTACTGCGAGACACATGACATGGCATGTTGAGCATGAAACCAAAGAGAGTTTGATGTCTCACCCTTCGGACTGTGAAGCTTGGAGACACTTTGACCGCTGTCATCCTCAGTTTGCAATGGAGCCACGGAATGTGCGACTGGGATTGTGTTCAGACGGATTCGCTCCTTTTGGAAAGTTTGGGAAGAAATTTTCATGTTGACCAATCATGTTAACTCCCTACAATCTACCTCCCGACATGTGCATTAAAAGTCATTTCATCTTTTTGACTTTAATTTGTCCAGGTCCAAAGGATCCTAAAAAAGGATAAACATCTATCTCCAACCCCTTATCGAGGAGATGAAAGAACTTTAGCCATTGGGACACCAACTTATGATGTTTCAAGAGATGAGATGTATATCAGGAAAGTTGCCATCATTTGGACCATTAGCTACTTCACTGCCTATGGTATGCTTTCAGGATGGAGCACACACGGTCTTTTTGGGATGTCCGATATGTATGGAGAAATCAGGTGCCAGTTGGCTCAACTTCAGCAGGAAACCAAGTTACTTTGATTGTCACCGCAAATTCCTCCTGGCAAACCATTGATATCGAAGGGACAAAAAATCTTTCATTAACGGAAGAGTGGTACAAGACCCCCCCACCCCCGAGACTTACAGGTGAACAAATTTTTAACAGGTTTCGACGTATTCCTTCGGCAGTGCAAGAGCCGCACAAGGAGCCACATCGGTATTGTGATACCCATAAGTGGACAAAGGGGAGTATATTTTGGGAGTTGCCATATTGGAAAGACCTTCTCATTCATCACAATTTAGATGTCATGCACATTGAGAACAACGTCTTTGACAATATATTTAACACGATGATGGATTTCAAAGCCAAAACCAAAGACGACCTTGCATCTAGAAAAGACATGACAATGTGCATGGTGTGAGTGACCCGAACTTTCTGTTGATCTAGAACATACTTGTAATGTTCCAAAAGCAGTCTATCAACTCATAGATGCACAAAAGCAATCAATCTTAGAGTGGCTTGTGTCTCTAAAGTTTCCAGATGGCTATTGTTCTAACATGTCCAGGTGTGTGGACATGGACAACCTAACCATGACGTCGAGCATGAAAACTCATGATGCTCATGTAATCATGCAAATACTTCTGCCGATTGCACTGAAAGAGATGCTTCCTGCAGTCGTATGGGGCTGTATTACCGAAATCAGTCTGTTGTTTCAGTCGATATGTTCCATCGTTTTGGATGTTGAATCCCTCCGAAGACTAGAAGAATTCGTGCCCATTCTGATGTGTAATTTGGAAAAAATATTGTCTCCATCATTTTTCGATGGAATGTAACATCTTATATCTAATACATCTTATGTATGAGGCTTTGAATGGAGGACCCGTCTTCTATCGTTGGATGTACATATTTGAAAGGTTAGTCACAATTTCATTTATATTTGAAGATTTATTTAATAAGAACATTTGTTTGTTTACATTTTTTATTTTGCAAGACAGATTCTTGGGAGAGTTGAAAAAGAAAGTGACCAACAAGGCACATGTTGAGGCTTCAAATTGTCAAGCATACATTCAAC